AAGAAGGGCTCGCCGTGGCTAGCTGGTTTGGATTGTCGTGTTGCAGGGCTTGCCGATAAACACCTATACCTCCACAATCAGCCCTAAACACTGGGGCTTCGTAGACGCACTGGCTCCTTCGCATAATGTCTCGTGCACGTTCTCCGGGGCGGCAAAGCTTTCGTGGAGTAAGCCCACGGCAGACAGACACACTCTTCCTTTCCTTTGCTTCTTGCGTACTGCGCCGTCTGCTCCATTCTGTCTCTCTCCCTCTCATATCTCCCCCCTCCCCCCGTACGCCCCTCTGCGCCCACCCCTTTTCTGCCTTCTACTAAAAATATAATGCATTCCTTTTTTTCCTTTCAAAAATTCTCGGAAAAGGGGAAGATAACTCGTAATGGCGATGACTCAAAATTTGCATATACTGCATGCGCGCTTGTGTTATTATATAAGATCAATCAGTGTTACTCTCAGCATCGCCATGTTAATGCGATTCTCGGAAACGATCATCTCCCTCTGTTGAGCCCCGGCGGGCACCAGGAGGATGAGGGGTACCCCGCGCACATCCTGCGTCATGCGCAGAGGATTTGAATCACTCATTTGGAAACTGTGTATGATGGTTTCCTTTTTAATCTGAAGGTAAAGTGCGTTAAATTTGCCAATTTTAAATGCTGAATGCACGAAGTTGCTCACTCTTCAGAGTGTAAAGAGTGAACAGTTTATCAGTGAAACGTGATTGTCCTTGCAGCTTTACGGCAACCAGTGTATGTCCTAAACTGATCCGTCCCCACGATTCCATCACTCCTGCACATCGAAAAACAAAAAATAAAAATAAAATTAAAACGAAGCCAACTTGTCTGTTTTGAATTGCTATTTTTCAAAGGGTAAGTGCAAGTGCATTGACCCGATGCAAGAACCGCGCAAGGATCTGGTGTCTGAGGTTAGGGTTGTGCACTCCCTGAGCTGACCGGACATGCCGGGCCGAGGCATGCAGACGAGCGCTTCCTCCGCAGCCGTGGAACGCAAGCGCAAAGTGCGGTCCGCCCAATGATTGTGGGGGGGGAAACAAAACGAACGCTGATGACGCCGAGAGGTTGTGAGGCTGTGCACGACTCGATAGAGGAGGAAATGCCTGTGTAAGCGGAGGGCATAACAGAAGGGTGAGCAGCCAACCCTTCACATGGCGGGCATGCAGATTACTGAGCAATTCTGTAATCGAAATGAAGCGAACCGTCCCATGCGATGTGCTATGCTGGCGGGCGCGGCAGCCGGCGCGCCGTGAAGGTAGGCAGCCTTTCTGCCGCCCGGCAGTGGACCCGCGAACTGAGAGCGTTGTACCTGGTTGGAACCGAGTGGAGGATGGTTTCCTCAAATGAATCATCTATCTAGGGCCTCACGCTCACATTTAACTTAAGAATCTACCTCAAGAATGCAAACTGAAGTACAACAATATAAACGCCGTCACACGCCCCATTGTCTCAAGCCCCCTGCAAATAATTCCGTGCAAAGAGCACCGAGAACTGCTAGTAAACGTGAACGCAAATCGTTTAAAATCTCATTAGAATCTAATTTGTTAATCTGGGTATTTCTCATGAGCCAATCAGAGCTTTTCGTTTGGCTCGCTCAATGAGTTGGCTAATGTTCAAACTTTGCCGCGCGGCCGTATATCTTCGAGTCTGACGTCACGTTTTGCCAGTCGAAAACTCGATTCACGCTGTGACGCGCACAGGTTTGGCCAACGATTTTGGCGGGCCGAAGCGTCATGCTCGCCCCTTGTCTCGTGCCTCTACTTGAAGCATCCATATTCCGCGTACTGATATATTTATACTACAGTGTTACACTCGAAAACACTTTTAATTCTTGGATCTGTGGTATCATTGAATTCTTGCAAGTGTTCAATGACTTCGAAAGCGTTGTGAGTTCTCTTGCATGTCAACACCATCATGGCTTAGCATTCGAGTTAAGCACTCACAAGTGTTCAACTTTTCAGTACCAACACTTGCATGTCGAAGTGTTCAAGCCCCTAATCAAACACGTACAAGAAGTGCGCCACGTTGTTGAACTCGTGCGCGTGCTTGCCAGGCGAACACCACCTGAGATACGCCAGTGTGAGAGTTTTAGTTGCTGCCCTGTTCACCGTGGT